TAGAAACTAAAAGTTTTAAATTACCTCTTTCGCAGTGTCTTCCTGTATATGCTTCCGTACAGCGACACTTGTAACTGTTTGTCCGATACAGAGGTACACAGGTCCCTTTGTTCTGACAGGGCGTCATCGAGCATGGAGACTAAGATCGAGAAAATCAAGTACTCACTTCCTTGATAAAAACCAGTAGTAGTAGAAGTACTTTATTTAGACACATTTCACCAGTGAGTCTGGGGTTCATTTAAATGTCAACGTGTATGGTAAAATTATACCGTAAAATTCGAATATGTTATCTATTCGATAAAAATACAAAAATTAGACTAGAAGATTTAAAAACTAGACTTTACAAAATTAATATGTTAACTACTCGATACAAAGATTACAGCAACAATTGGTCTTGGTAATCAGGTTAACATTGATCAGTAAATTTTTTAAACTTCTAAGAGAGGACGCTCCTATAATTCAGGTAGGTTGTTCCATGAATATGAAGTTATGTAACGATAAGATTTCTACAAATACTTTGATTTAAAAGTAGGCTGATTTAGCTTACAATAACCTCTTAAGTCATAATTGCTAGAACGTAATGAGAACAATTCCTTGATGTAGTTTGTCCCTGTATTAAATAAAGATTTATAAAGACGGATTAGGGCTTGCATGTATCTGCGATGTTCCAGGGACTTGATGTCTACTATCTTAAGTAGATCGCCAAATGGAGTTGACTTGAGCAGATTCATCAGTGTTCTGATAGCAAACTGATTAGTAAATTCTAGCTTGTTAGAAAGTCCATGTGAAAGTCCCACTAAACCACGTTACAAACTTTGATGACGGGTTGATAAAATGACTTAAAAATGGCTTGCGACGAACACAAAATTAAAGAAAAAGCCACAGAGAGACGTATTTTAACGTTCAGTTAACAGTTCAATATAACTTGTTCAAACGACTTCGACTGCCGGTTTCGGTCATCATCTAGATAAAATTTTAAAAAATGTGATGATAAAGATAAAACGATAGAAAAAGAGTTTTACCGTAATACTGTAGTGATACCAAGAATGGTTGGTAATGAACTTGTCTGAATGGGTGTAACGATCCGATGGAAGCAGTTCACATAGCAGATTTTCGATGTTATCAGCCAAATCTGCCAGGTTGAAGGACAAACATGGATCCTCATAGAGACATTTAAATGCGCACTCTCTC